TCTTTGAGCCTCCTCATGCCTCCCTACACTCGCAAACATTTTAGCCAACAGGACATAATTGGCAGCATTCTCAGGCTCTATCTCAAACAAAGCCTTCCCTGCAATCTCCGCCAGCTCTAACTCTCCATAAATTCGACAAGCCCCAAGAAGGGCGCCCCAAGCTTTAGCCGTCGCCCTCACCGGCATCTCACGAATGATGTCAAATGCCTCGTGCAATCTCCCAGCTCTGCCCAATACATCTACTAGACAAGAATAATGATCGCTGCTCGCTTTTAGACCATAATCTCTCTGCATACGACTAAAATAATCCAAAGCTTTATCAGCTAACCCCACGTGACTGCAAGCTTTCAACACCCCAATGAACGTAATCTCGTCAGGATGTACTTCAGCCAACTCCATCTGTTGAAAAATGTTTAAAGCAGTTCTGGCCTCCCCATGAAGAGCATGTGCTGATATCAAACTGCTCCATGCTACTACATCTCTTTCCTTCATACTATCAAACACGTTGTGTGCATAAGAGAGACATCCGCATCGTCCATATGCCTCAACAAGGCCACTGCCTAACTGGAGATGACTACTGATGTCACTTCTCATAGCAAAACCGTGAATTTGTTTGATCAAGTCCAAAGCGGCCACTCCAACACATGCAGGCAATAAAGCAAGAAGGGAAATTAGATTAGGCTTCAACCCAAATTGTTGCATTTTTCGGTAGAAAGCAATGGCCTTGAATCCATCTTCCAATTCCGACAACCCGGCTATAATTGAATTGAAAGACGAAGTATTTGGTTGCACATCCATAGCTTCAAACAACCGCAAAGCATCAGATAACATATTTGCGTGCGCGTATAGTGATAAAATGGCATTCCACACGACGACACTTCTCTGGGGGATTTCATCGAACAGCTTTCGTGCGAGTGATACCGAGATGCATTTACCGTACATGTCAACTAGCGCAGAAGCAACAAATGGGCTTGAGAGCAGGGAGGACTTAGCGGCATGGGCGTGAATGGCAATGCCCAAATGGGGTCGTTGGATGGCGGTGCAGGACTTAAGAGTGAGAGAGAAGACGTGGGCGTCTAAACCAAGGGCGAGCGAGGCCTGCATGTGGTGGAAAAGAGCAAGAGCCTGCTCGTGGTTGCCATGGTTCACATAAAAGGTTAATTGCTTTGTGTAAGAAAGCAACCGTAGGTAGTTTGAGTTGTAAGACCCCATACCGGTTCTCTTCTCTTCTGGTGGCCGAAGGAAACCCAGCTCTGACCTCAAATTTTTTATAAACTCACTACTTTACTCATTTTTATTTGCTTTCGTATAAATTATCAGTTATCAATCCTTATTAACAGCATGAAAATGCAAAAGAAAGCCAAATAAACAAAATCAAAATTACGAGTGTAAGTGATTTCCAAGTAAACAACATTTTAGTCAAAAGAAAAATGAAATAACAATCCAGAATTGTAATCCATTTTCACATATAACATTTGTCTAACAATTTTTATAAATTTTGTCCAAGCAATATTAATAAAAGTGAGGGGAGCAAAGGGAAATTTAGCGACTGTAAGAGTTTCTTTCCAAACTAAGATATAAACCTAGTCTTATGCAAAACAAAAATGTCTGGTCGGTGAAAACAACTATACCCAACTTAATAAAGAGAGCGATTCCGTAACTGTACCTCCAAATCAGTGATCAGATAGAAAATTAATTTTTATTTTCAATATCGTTACATTCACATTATCTTTCAAAATTATATAAGATTGTCGCATTAGGAAACGAAAACAATACATTTAAAAACCGCAAATGTGAATGTATTGTTGTCAAAGGAAACGGAAACAATTATAATAATCCAATTTCAATGGGAGGCTAGAGAGACCAAGAAGGCAACAACTCCAGTATGGAAAAATATCATTATGGAAACGATATGTACATATTCTTACTTGAAGAGTAAAAACTAAAAAATACAATACATCAAATCAACTGCTGCAGAACGAAAAAATTCACATCAAAACTGGTAATTGGCTACAAGATCAACTTCAACGCTGCGATCGTTAGCCAAGTGCATACGGCGTATCTAGCTTGTGATAAGACGCAAGACATTCCATTTTATCTGCAGAAGGAAAAGAGAAGAAGAAATAACAGAAAACACTATGAAAAAGTTAAAACGGCCTGTTCGTCAAAAGAGAGAAAAAATGATGGTTTATGCACAGCAATTGAACGTTAATAACATGAACCAGCTTTCAAAAAAAACTTCGCAAGTAAATTGCATTTTAAATTTTGTGCTGTTATTTAACTCAATTCTCCTAAAGTAGGCGAGAAAAAGCTGATGACAACACACAATTTATGAGTTTTTCAGACTGCATACCCACATGAGAGAAGGTAAGAGTATAGTTAAACTCAAATCAGATGAAAATGCGAAGCAAAATAACATATAAATACAACTTAAATAACAATAAACCTAAAACTGAATAAAGTTTAACCTCAGCTAAATCCATATAACTCATACAAATGCTGCTCGACCAAGTAGGTTCTCCCTGAAACAGGGACTTAGTTTCACAACATCTCAGACAAGATGGAATGAATCATCATAGGCTTAGATTAAATTAAGAAATTTTCATTAGTCAAAGAAGGCATCAAATTTAACAAGATAGGATGAAAAAGAACAAATAAATTTCAACTTTAAATATTTGTTACCAACCGAAGAAAAATCATATGCACAAGTAAAATTTCTAATAGTAGCCTCGGTTAAATCCATTAATATCGCATGAACATCGCTTCACCAAGTAGGTTCTCCCTGAAACAGGGACTTAGCTCCACGAAGTCTCAAACAAGATGGATTGAGTCATCATCGGCAAACTAGATATAAAATTTCAATTCACAGTTGACAAAAGTCGAAAATCCTTGTAATGTAGAAAAATGGATTACACCAAAAATAAGGAAGTTAACGCCCATCAAACAAATTAAATATTAGAAAAAAAATTGAAACTGGACTAAATTTATATAAAACCGAAGCAAGAAAATACAATTTAAAAACATTGATAAAATTTAACAAATTCAAGGCTCAGATCATATGTAACAGCTTTATCAATCATTAAATTCTGAAGCAGAACTGGCGTTATAAGCTGAAATTTAATCATCACTGCCAGACTCGAAAAAATAAAGAATAAATACACAAATTTTAAGATAAATTCATAGAAGAAAGATGGCTCATATTAAGAAATTCAACCATTTATTTGAAGCTTGCTTCATCGTTTAACCTCGGAAGCGCGGATAATATATAATCATAGCCAACGACTCTTCCATATCACAATAAAAAGACAAAACTTGAAAATGGCTCTTCTGCTCAGAAATGAAATGTTTAGTGAAGTAATTTTAAAATCAAAGCACAGTCAAGAATGTAATATAATAGCCAATAAGAAAAACTTGAAAACAGAAAGTCAAAAATTAGAATCAAATTAATACAAGATTATCTATAGCGGACGTTTTTAGAGGCACAAACATTGAATGGACAGGCCCCCACGTGAACACCGCCGAAAGAGTAAATCTTGGCCTCTATGACTAGCTTCATTTTCATTCTTTTATCTGCAGAAAACAAGCTAAAGGTGTAGTGAGGCCCCGAAAGAAAGAAAAAAAATTCGATAATGCAACATTATTCGATGGCGCTGTAACCATGATAGAGGGATCTCGCCGTTGTTTTGACACAGACCAGCCGTGGAAAAAGATGAAGGCTAACCTGCAACACTAAACGGCAGCAATCTAGCACGAGCAATGGGGCTATCACCGTCATGGAGATAATCAGAGAAGCCCGGGGTGCATCGTGCAGAGTATAATTGAATTGAATGAAACCTCAATAAGCCTGATAGATCGCCCTCTCGGACTATAAACCCTAAATTCAACTTCGCTCTATACCAAACTCGGATGCTCATGGAAGAGACCTTACGTTGGTTTATATAGGCCAAAACCCTAGAAATGCTGGCGGCTCCTTGCCAAGGATATCAAGATGGTCTCCAATGTTTACTTGGGCCGATGTGATGGTTCACATCATTGTGGCCCAGATAATGGTCTGGCCCATGTTCGGTGCCAATTTTATTATCATACCTTTATGTCTAAAATTTTATTATTTGCCGTAGGCTATTATTCTGGATTTTTTTGTTAAATAATGCAGAATTATGGTAGTTTTGATAATAATTAAAATATGATTGATATATCACGTACATTGACCATGATTTGTTATATGTTGCTTATAGTATACACATTTTCAACATTCCCTAACTCGACTATAGTAATATGATTGCTACGTGCATTTATTAAGTTGTGTGCATTTGAGACGGGTTTAGCTAAGGCTAAATTTAAGTTTACTATAATATTAATAATAAAAATAACAAACTTAACTAACCAAATATTCTATTAACATCTTTATAATTCTTCCTACAGAACAAATATATCTAAATATGTCATATATCTAAAATTACGGGCACCCGATAATGTTGGGTATCTACCTTCTTAAAAAATTGATCCCTTAACATTCACATAGCATTACCTAAATGCGCTTCAAAATGTGACACTCTTAAATTACATAGGAGTATGAGATTTTGAGTTTGACAAAAACTATCCTATTTTCTCCCGGCAGTTAAAAGATATATGTCTAATTTTATATAATTTTCTTTTTTTTTGTTATTATTATTATTATCACTTTTAAACTTATACCATCTTTTAAATTACATTATTTCCTAAAACTAACCCTGTTGTTCTTTCGAAGTTTTGTATGTGTCATGTTTTAGAAAACCAACAAACAACAATGAATAAAAATCATATGGTTGGCATAATGGTTTCAATATTTTTGTTTATTAACTTTTAACTTGCACCTCACTCAAATAGTTTAACGTGATCAATTAATATGGTAGATATTATTTTTTTTATTAATTTTGATATAAACTAATAATCAAATGATTTTTACTAGTAATTTGAAATTACACAGAAGTTTAATACAAATTATATCATACATGAATGTGTAGGTTATGTCACAAGCAGTGTGCTAGTACAATAAAATAATCCATAGATAATTTTAATATCCTATAAAACAACCTTATGAAAACTTACCAAAATAATATATGAAATAAATAAATATTAGGCATAATAGTTGAATAATTAAGATATTGTTTACCTCTAAAAAAGTTTGTAGTTAAAAGGTGTTCGTAAAGCAATGTTACACCTGCAACAATTAACAAGTTTATATGAATATACTAAACCATCTGTCTTTATTGTCAAAAGAAAAGAAAGAACCATCTATACTTAAAAAAACATAGGGTTAAGTGGAGATTTAACTAACATTTTCTTTTTTAACTATTTAACTAACATTGTGATTGATATTGTGGATGCTTGAAGTGTTATTTTTCCGTTTTTCTTTTTAATTATTATTGAGCACAACTGCTGGAAATGTTGGGTGGGGTTAGAAAACGAATGAGACAACAGATTCACCGTCGGGGAGGCCGGAGGAAGCAAGAGTTCGTGACAATTAAAAATTCAACTGTGTGCGTCCCATACAGCTTCCTTTCCAGTGATCGATCTCGGAGAAGAACGTGAAGTTCTGCTAACCAAACACTTCTGCCACAAACTCTAACCCTATCTCCATCTACTCAATTCATACAATCGCCACCTCCACTCTGGGATCTGAAACAGCCACTCACTAATTTCAACTCCGCTACTGAGATTCAGCTTTCGCCCGGCTGAAAACTGCATTTATCTTATCACGATCGGAAATCGAGCCAGAAGATGAGGCGGAGGCCACCGGATTTCCGAAGGCCCGCGAGGAGAAGATTATCGAACGCCTTTTGGTGGACTCTGTGTTTTGTTGCGGTTTTGCTCTTCGTTTTCATTCTCAGCAGAGGGAGTCAGATTGAGTCCAGGCCCGCAATAACTAGGGTAAAGATCTGTTTTCCTTTCTATATTCCCCCCAATTTGGGTTTGTAGCTGGGGCAAACTCTGGGATGAGGTTCAATTAGAATATCAATTGCTGGTCTTTTTGTTCCAACAATTACTATGAATTGCTATCCACTGAAATACGTACTGCGTGATATGAAATTCGCGGTTTATTCTTCTCAATACCTACTGCAGCTCTTGGATTTTTGTTCATTTATGTCGTACTAATCTGACCGGTAGAGGTGCCATCTAACTTTGCTTTGTGATACATCTGTATGTTTTCCTTTAATGATCTGTTTTTAAGTGATTTCGTATCTGATTCCATGCATCTTTAAAGGATCTGAACATCTGGTTTTGAAGCCAGTTTGTCCGTTTATTGGGACATTGAAAGAATAGCAGGTAAAACGTGGGATTAAGTGATAGGAACCAATTTAAGAAACTTCAAGAAGTCGACATTGCTATGAAAGAAGTGTAGTAAAATAGAATCCCAAGTAATTTGAGGAACTTGTGTGCCTCCCTCTTGAGAAATTTCAAGCACAAAAAACTATAAATTTGCTTAACTTCATTTACCCCTAATTCACTTTATTTATGACTACTTCCTTCTGACAAATTTACTTGCTTCTAACGCTAAAGTGGTCTATATTTCCATGTGGCATCTTGAGTTTTAATGAAGCTTATGTAGGCTTTTTAATTGGTACTGCTACAGCAACCTTTTGCTAAACTTTAATGTTTTTTTAATCATTATGTAGAGATCATACAGACACGACAGAATAATGGAAGGCCTCAACATTACTGAAGAAATGCTGAACCCCAGTTCTATTGCCCGGCAACTCAGTGACCAAATTTCTCTTGCAAAAGCATTTGTTGTGATTGCAAAGGAGAGCAACAATCTTCAGTTTGCTTGGGAATTAAGCGCCCAAATCCGCAATTCACAAATTCTCCTTTCAAATGCTGCAACTAGGAGAGCACCTCTGAGCACTACAGAAGCCGAAACTGCAATACACGAGATGGCACTGTTGCTCTACCAAGCCCAGCAACTTCATTATGATAGTGCAACCATGATCATGAGGCTGAAAGCTAAAATTCAGACTCTTGATGAGCAAATGAGCTCTGTCAGCGACAAAAGTTCAAAATATGGACAGATTGCTGCTGAAGAAGTCCCCAAAAGTCTGTACTGCCTTGGTGTTCGCTTGACCACTGAATGGTTCAGAAACTTAAATATACAAAGGAAGCTCAATGAAAAGAATCAAATGGATATGAAACTTAAAGATAATGGTCTCTATCATTTCTGTGTATTCTCTGACAACATCCTGGCCACTTCAGTTGTTGTCAACTCGACTGCGTTGAATTCAAAAAATCCTTATAGGATTGTTTTCCATCTTGTAACTGATGAGGTCAATTATGCAGCGATGAAGGCCTGGTTTTCAATGAACAATTTTAGAAGGGTGACTGTTGATGTTCTAAAGTTTGAGGATTTTAGCTGGTTAAATGCTTCTTATGTCCCAGTACTCAAGCAACTCCAAGACTCGGATACTCAGAACTATTATTTTTCAGGTAGTGGTGGCGATGGTCGGACTCCCATCAAATTTCGGAATCCCAAATATCTTTCAATGCTCAACCATCTCAGGTTTTACATTCCGGAAGTTTTTCCTGCTCTCGAAAAAGTGGTTTTTCTTGATGATGATGTTGTGGTCCAGAGAGATCTTTCTGATCTTTTCAGCATTGATTTAAACGGCAACGTAAATGGAGCCGTCGAGACATGCATGGAGACCTTCCACAGATATCACAAGTACTTAAATTACTCCCACCCCCTTATCAGGGAACATTTCGATCCTGATGCTTGTGGATGGGCATTCGGGATGAATGTTTTCGATTTGGTAGAGTGGAGGAAGAGAAATGTAACAGGCATTTACCATTATTGGCAGGAAAAGAATGTAGACCGGACACTATGGAAACTTGGTACATTGCCACCCGGACTGCTTACATTCTATGGGTTGACAGAACCGTTGGATCCGTCGTGGCATGTGTTAGGATTAGGCTACACAAATGTCGATCCTCAGATGATAGAGAAGGGCGCCGTGCTTCACTTTAACGGTAACTCGAAGCCATGGCTTAAGATTGGGATAGAGAAGTACAAGCCCCTTTGGGAGAAATACATTGATTATAATCATCCTCTACTGCAAAGCTGCAATTTCCATTGATTTATATGAAACATCAATTTCGTTTTCCCCTGTGAAGATTGCTGTTTAAGAATATCAGAAAATTCTGGGGACATTATGCTTGAACGTGCCCATTTTATCACAAAATCAAGCATGTGCATGGCGAGTAGGTGTATCACGAATATTTGAATCTTCAGTTTCCCGTTGTAGCACAGATCCTTTATAATAGATAGTTGGCCCTGATGTTTTGAATACAATTTGTGTCCTTGGGAAGAGCAGTAAACCCATTTTGTTGTGCCATTAACGGCAATTGATATTCGATCTTTGTACCAGTCATGCTCCCCATAAATAGCCTTCCTAACTTGACGATTTTGAATTTGGAAGTTTAGTTCTTGGGAAGTTCGCACTCCCTGTTATTAGTGTATTGATAGATGCAATTTTCATTCCTTTTCTGAAATTTGGCTGTTTATCACTTTCACTCGCTTGTTCTCCTCCTATTCTTTGGTTTCCCTACTACATTATTACAATTTACTTCACAACCAACGATGGGTCATGTTGTGGTCTCAGGAGAGCAAACTTTCTGATACACCGATGCATTTACTTTTTTACTGTATAAAAGTAAGTATTTTGAAATTTTTCATTTTTACCCCCTAAACTTCTATTAATTTTCACATTAACTTTCAATGGCTTTTAACTCTAAACTGCAATTTTTATCCTCTATTCCATTTTCTCTAACTCACCTACTAATTTTAACAATATATATATATATATATTATATAAACTCACAAATAAATTTAAAAAAAAACAGTCCGTACAAAATGAAATTTAACGAATGGCTATTAAATAATTTCATCAAAACTTACAAATTTAAATAGCAACAAAATTAGCTATTTAGACCCTTTCAATTTCATATTTTATAATTCATGTTACACATGATAATAAATTTTCAAACAATTTTTTAAACATAGGGTACAAATCGCAACATTTAGATTAAGGTGAATATTGTAACATTTATCAATGTTACAATTTGATGAGATTAAATACAATCAAGTTCAAGGTCAAAATTAATACTGTTGCGAAAAAAAATTGAGGTGACCCCACATTCTCTTTTGGCAAGCGAAGGATGAGGCAAAGTAAGAATAATAATTAGGTAATTACTAGTAGTTAACACCCAAAGATAATTATAGAGGTGATTTATTATTATTATTATTGATATAATCGTAGAAGTTAATACTTAAAAAGATTGTTTGCAAAGTAAATATTAAAAATTTAACTTTTTTTTTCTCAAACAACAAATTTACCCATTTAATGTTGTGATGGAGTTATTATTGTGCAATACCAAAAGATACAAAAAATCATACAACAAAGGGAGATGAGAGTTAAGCTCATGACCTATTGATTGGAGACATGCGCTCGTTATTGTTAAGTTTGACTATAAAAAATATGTAGGGAAGGATTACAAATATTTGGGTGCTACCCTACTCTTGGCCACCATCTTCATTAAAAAAAAAAACATAAAAAATATCTTTTTTACGTTTGATTTTCGTATTCGTCAAAATTTTAATAATGGCAAGCACCTACCTATTATTTTTTTAAGAATCGTATACATGTTGGATACATTATATTATTAAATAACATCTTTATCCTTGAGGTATCTCATCTATCAAAATTCAAGTACTTTTACTCATTTTGACTCATTGAGATGCACCATTTAATCCAACTTTCGTCATGTTACGAAATTTGTAACATATTATATATATATAACCATTGATCTCAACTTAAGATCACCAGCCAAAAGCGAACAAAGAAACAAGCGAACAATGACTTTGCATTCAAGATAGAGCCATCGGTTCATTCACGAGATGGACCAACAAATTGCCTAATTGGAGAAACCAACAAATAGAAAACCAGAAATTTCGTAAGTAGAGATGTCAATTCGAGTTGTGGTGATTTCCACCATTTTTAAACTGGAAAACCTTTACGCTAACAATCCATTTCCATAATATTATCATAAGCTTCCAATCCATTTCCACATCTTATGTTATATATATGAGACATGACACGTGTCGCACACCCACGTACCCCACTGAGCTGAGCAAGTCCAGAAGCCGGCAGCGTAAAAAAATCAAAATCTTACTAGAAAATCCCAAACGAAACGAAGCTTCATCGATCTGTTGTTCCGTACCATTACCAATAAATTCAAATTTCTAACTGTCTTCATTTTTCTTGCGATCTTCTCTCTCTCCCCTCCAATTCAACATTCTTTTTTGTCTTTTGACGGAATCCTCAAGAAAGAGACGAGAAAAAAAGATTTATATCCGTTTTTGTTTTGGTGATTCTTCCTTCGTAACTAACTCCCTTTTCGTTCTCCCTCGCTTGATTTTTCTGAATTTTTTCCGTTTCCATTTTGTTCTGGAAGAGAAGCCGAGAAGGCAGAGTTCAAGAACGATGAAGAATGAGAACGACGCAGTGGTTTCCGACCAGTCACAGAGACACCGGAGAGGGAAATCCCGTGAAGTAAGTTCGCGGTTTCTCTCGCAGGCCTCTGCAACGGAGGCCACCGCAGCGACGTCGTCTCCCAATCAAGTTATTTCTCCGACGCAGCGGAAATCGAGAAGCAATTCCTTCGATGCTCGGAAACACCGAAGCCAAGAGGGCTCCATATTCGCTCATGGGCTGTGGCCTTCTTCGACTACGTCGTGTACTACTTCTAAGAGATTCGATACTCTCGCGGATTATCTTGGAAATGAGCGACTGAAGGACCAAAAATCCACGACTAGTAATGCGTCGATCAACAAACAGAGGGGTTCGAAGGAGTTCAGTAGCGTCGAACCTGAAAAGGAATGCGCCAAAGAAAACGACAGGCCGTTTATTGGGGGTTCTTTGAGACATTGCGGGAAAGTGCAGGGGAAATATTTAAGCTCTTCGTCGTCGAAATTATCAGTACAGAGTTCGGAATCTGGGAGATTGTCAGTGGATGAGAATGCTCTGTTTGGAAGATCATCAAGAAGGAAATTGGAAAATTTCAGGAACAGTTTTGAGTTGGAGCCGGAGTACAGCGACATCGGGTCTCCGATGTTGGGGAAAACTCCGACCATAATCTGCCGGAAACCCGGCATAATGATCCCTTCCAAGTATATGAATGATGTTCTGCGAAGGCCTCAAAGAGGGTCTTCCGATTCAAGCCTCTCGAACCCTGTTTCATTCGAGGGTTCGCCAACAGCGAAGAAAACTTCAGCGAAAAACGCAATCCAACGAGCTAATTCAATTTCAGGGCATGGGAGTTCAATGTCGCAGTGGGCATTATCGCCCGGGCGATCAGGTTCGCCGCCGATGTCGGTGGAGAACAAAGAAAAGCCGATGTCATTTTCTAGTTTAAAACCTCAGCCTGCAGTAAAAACTCCCTCAAAAGGCGCAACGGGGATGGAGAAGTTGCTCAACTTGGGATTGGACTTGTTCAAGAGCAGAAAAGCTTCGGTTTCCACGAATTCCCCTGTAGGGACTGGAATTTCAGATAATGTTCATCAACTTAGAATGCTCCATAATCGATTGGTGCATTGGCGTTTTGCGAACGCTAAATCTCATGCTGCCACTGCAAACTTATCTAATTTAGTAGAGGTAATGATTTTTTAATTATCAATATATCATAAAGGGTATTGGCGCCTACAATCTAACAAACATGTGCTTCTCCTTTGGAAACTTTGCAGAGAAATTTGGCTAGTGCTTGGAATGATATTGCAAAACTGCAGCTGTCTGTGCAACAGAAGAAGTTGCAGCTCCAGAAGGAAAAGCTCCAATTCAAGTTGAACTTCATTCTCCTTTCTCAAGTGAGTGAAATGGAAATCCCCAACGCTAGTTAATTCAGCTACGGAAGTGTACCACTAAAATTCATTGATTTTCATTTTTGGGCAGCTGAAGCCATTGGAAACATGGGGAGGTATGGAAAGGCAGCACTTAACTGCACTTTCAATGACCAGAGACTGTCTACATTCTGTTATCTGCAGGGTGCCACTCATTGAAGGTGCACAGGTGAAACAACCTTGAATTCTCTGTTCTTTGTCAAAGTAAGCTCTTAAATCATTGCTTCTCACATGAAGTATGCACACAGATTGATGCTCAAACAATGTCCATGGTACTTAGACAAGCTTGTGATCTCACAACCTCTATCAAGTCAACGATTACTGTATATGCTCCGCCGGTAAATAACAAACTGCAAGGCCTCATAATAGTTTTCTCTGAGTGTTCTGTTTTAATGGAGTCGTGATTCATCATACAGGCCAAGGAAGCTGCTTTCTTGCTGTCGGAATTGGCAAGATTTGTCGTACAAGAAAGACTGGTTTTGGAGGAGATCTTTGAACTTCACAAAACCATATCAGCACTAGAGGTGTGAAGAAGTAGCCATATTTATTCTCCAATATCAGTTTTGTCTTGTGTTGTAGTACTGTTTCTTCTGGTTGATAATTCTCTGGTTTCTTTTGTGTGGTAGATGGAAGAAATGAGTTTGAAATGTGGGATTGTTCAAATGATCAAAACGCAGCAGCTACAACAACAGAATGAAGAATCTTCCATTACTTGACTGACTTTCCCGTTGATTTTGATAGGTATCTCGGGAACATACATGTACAATATACTTGACTAGCTGGGGTGAAATCTCTCAGATTACCAAAATTACATCTCAATAATCTAATGAATAAATGAAATTTTGTCTTCTTTTTTATTATTATTATTATCTTGTGTCAACTTCTCAAAATGGATGAAGGGTAGGGATATGTTTATGAGTTGCTTTAAGAACAGTTTTTATTCTTTTGGGTTAAAATGTAGTTTTGATCTATAAATTCCATTTTCCACTTCTCATCTCAATGTTTAAAAGATTGTATTTCAATTCTAAAATCTGAATCAGCAAAAGATGTAGATTCTACGTGTTCAAAACTTCAAATGAAGAACAAGTTGCCACTTGGGGAGATGAGCAGCAGTAACAGTCACCCCCTGTGGAATGCCGGCCTTGATATATATATATACACACAACTGTCTTGCTTAAATTTTAAAATGGATTAACTAAGGTAAGAATCATACAAAAAATTGTCATATATGACAATAAAAAAATAAATTAGAATATTTATCAAAAAATAATAACAACAACAAAAAGAAAGAAATATGCATGAAAGATATATTTTCAAACATAAATTTTATGTTAAATAAGAAGGCAATTAATATTTAGAATCTAACATTTTATGAGAAAAAGAAGTTCATCAATTTCATCTCCATGCATGCATTTTTAACCAAATTTATTAAAATTATAGTTAAATTTGTATTATTTGAAATAATTGTTAACCAACACATGAAAATAAAAAAGTCTTTAAATCCAAGACAACTAATTAAAATAATTATAATGTTTTAAAAAATTATATTTAGTTCTCTAGTATCGAATATATATTTTCATTAAAAAAAAGTATCGAATATATATATTTAATCACGAAAACTCTCCGGTCTTAAGAATTCGAAAACTTAAAAGAAAAAAAAGGAAAAAAAAAAAGAAAAACGAAAGAGGGCTAATACGACGTCGTTTGCCTTTGCGTGTGTTTGTTTTGATGCGCTGGGGTCTCTATTTCTTGCTTCTGTTCCGCCGTATCAGCGTCATTGATCTCTCTCTCTCCGTAGGGAAGGAAATCTGAATCCATGGCTACCTTAGCGGCTGCTGCAGTTCGTCAAGCCAGAGCCCTAACTCGAGTCTCCTCTCCTCAATCAACCGCGACCCTTATTCACCGCCGCGGTCTCGCTGGCGCTGCTGGTAAGTTTCTTCTGTCGATTTCATTTTTATGCAATTAGATCACCGGCTGAAAGTCATCCAGTTTTCGGGATTGTTTAATTTTCGTTAGCTGGTGAAATGCTTGGTATTTCATTTCAAAATGAACATCGCGTCCCCCAATTCCTACCGTGTTCTGCTTTTAGGTTTAACTCCTTAGTATTTCCCAGACATTGAATGATCTAATGATCGTGGAAATTTGAGATGAAGGTTTGAATTATGTCTACTTTCTGGAATGCGTTTTACCCAAAAATTTGAAGCGTACGTAGATTTCGCTGTTATTCCCAGAGAACGAGGGTTGCTTGTATATAATTAAAATGGGAATACTGCAAACTGACTTAGTCACCTTAATTGGGCAATGAAAATTTTTCCATGTTATAAAAAGATTGATTTTTTTCCTCGCACATAATTACCTATTATCTGGTTCAATGTGTATGTTGAAGAAAAAGACGGAAACATTAAAAATAAAACAAGTTTGAATTTTCAGATGCGAAGTAGTTTTTGATTTCGCAGTTGCATATGTTAGTTGCTTTGCTTTTCTATTGGGCAATAAGTTCTTTCACACCGTATTCCACCACTTCATTGAGTTTTTGATGGAGATATTGCTAATTTGCAAAAACTTAGTTTGCTAATATTTGAAAGATAGAACAATACCATGATATACCTGAGTTGTAATAATAATATATTAGTTTCCCAAAGAATAACCTGCATGCTGAACGGAACACAGAAAACCACTTTAGTCAGATTATGGTTAGTAAAACTACTCTTAGTGGGCTAAAAGTGATGCAATTGAACATATAGTGTTCTTTAAGGGTTTGTTTACAAGAATACACCCTACAGAGGCATGTGAACTCTGTTTGTAGTTCCTTTTGTAATGCTCGTGTTGGGAGGAAGACGAATGAATTATCTTTTTGCTTTTTAGTTTGACTATCTTTGTTGATATTTGCAGACCACCATGGACCACCGAAGGTTAACTGTTGGAAAGATCCTATGAGCCCATCTAAATGGAAGGAAGAGCATGTGAGACTTATCCTCTAATACAGCACTATTAGCTTCTTCTTCTTCTTATTCTTCTTCTTTTATTTTACTGACCCCTATTCTCTCATCAAGTAGCATGTTTTAAGAATGAGACTGAAAAAAATGTAACTTTTCTCGACCTTCTAACCAGTGCGTCTCTTAAACTTCTAATCAACTCAACCACAAATTTGATTTTATCGGTTAAGACTTCTGTTTGTACTCCACATTTTATGTAGTTTTGTCACTTGTAATGTTAGGGTTAGACTTATCTTATTGATTTAGCTATAATTTAGAATTTATGGGTTCTATTTTTCTTTAGAGCTAAATGAAACTGTTCATCTCACTTTATTACTTGTTCTCTTTGCTTTGCATACTATCTGAAGTTGAAATTCCTAATACCTTTAAATTAGAATACACTGAAACTTATCTCTTATGTGTACATGCCCTCTTCTCCTAGAGTGTTCTTCTTGTTGCGAAGAATAAATAAACAATGACCTAATTATCATACTTGTGCTTTATTTAATTATTGTTTATTCTTGTCTCTTTCAAATAATGTTTACTAATGAGCAAATACAACTTGTTCTGATGAGATTGTAAATTTTTGCAGTTTGTGATTGTCTCTCTATCGGGATGGGGCCTACTCTTCTTTGGAGGGTACAAGTTCTTTACCAGGGGCAAAGGAAAGAAGGAAGAGGTACTTCCACACTTATTATCTGTGCGCTCTTAATTCTTGAAAACCATTTGCAAGATTTTACAGGTGCTGTTAACTGAATATTATTTGGCAGCCGTTGATCAGCTTTGACTTGTTTTTACTTCTATCTTGGAACAAATTTTTTACGCCTCTTATTTCTGAGGGAATGTCACCTTAAAAGCATTACCTTTAGGCTTTAGCTTTACTTGGTTTTACCTTCATTTTAATTGAGCCATTTGCTAATCTCCATATTGTATGAAATGTTATAATTGGTAAAATGTTGAACTCTCCTAGAATATTCTAGAATACATGAAAATTAGAATTTATGGAATACATCTCTCTACAAAACTCTATTTAACCTATGCCCACCAGGCGTTAGGCCTTCCTCCAATTTGCGAGTAGTGAGCTCTAGTCCTTATTTTAGACTCTGCAAACATCAACTTCAGTGAAGTGTGAACTGTTAAGTATAAAAGAAAAGCTATACTTACACGTGAGGTCATTGTCATTAGGATGACTTGCTAAGCTTTTGCACCTCTAAATGTAAATGTTCTTTTGGTCAATAACCAATTAGATTTAGATTATAATTTTGGAAACTCATTTTTGGCCTTCCTGGAGAGAATGCAGCCTAGTTATATGAGGCCGAAGGTAGGAGTAATGGAATTATTAGCTCCGTTAAAGAATGAGAAACATTCATGATCTCGTTTCTATTTTTGATAACATTACATAATTTATCTTGCTTTCTGTATGTCTAGTTTAGATCATATCGTAACAGCAAGTTTCGTTTCTTTCTCCTAATGTATTCCCCTTTGTTTTCAGAAACTTGTGGAAGCATCACAATGAGCTGAGAGCTATGGGCATTTTCCGGTTATGCTGAAGGACTCCTCATAATAATGTATTCCTTGGACCTCATGAGTCTGCGGATTTCATTTCAATCTCAAATCCCTTCTCAGACTAGTTTACGATCCATATCTTGTAGCTTTTTCTTGACATTTATGTTATTTCATGCACCAACTTCGTCCCATATCTAATAATACCATTTTACCAACTTGGAAGCCCCACAGTTTATTCATAGGATTTGAAGGGGGCATTTGTGGTTTGGAGTTTATGATTGAACAAGGCATTTTTTGAGTAAAAAACTCAGTTGATGGCTTTTTTAGATCAATTCAGATAATGCGCAATCACCTGTTTGGATAAAGAATACTAGTAAACTCTATGGACTGCTTTTTGTTTCTTCAATTTAGTTGATTAAAAAGTCTCCTCGGTTTGATTAGACGTAAATTAGTAACATCATCAAGTAAGCTCTGTGCACTGCGATACAATTTATACGAGACCCATTTGCCTACCCAAACAATCGAAAGATTAACAGGAAGGTATTCGATTCAAAACTCAGACTCCTCTGTTTCTTCCTTGTTTTCTTCTTCTTCTCTAACGTCAGAGTTAGATTCCTTACTGAAACGACCATCTGCATCTTGTCCCGGTTCTTGTTTTTCTTCGCTTTTCAAGTCTTTTAGCTCCTTTTTTTCACCTGGGTTTTGCTCAATGCTACCATCTCCCTCTTCTCCATCCCCTGATTGCTGCTTGTCGTTCTGCTTTTGCTCTCCATCTGTCCTTGAATTCAACACTTGTCTTTCCTTTTCCGTCTGATTTTCTCTAGCTTCCTTTGGGTACAATTTCATTTTCTCCTCGTTTGAAGCCTCTCCCTTGAAGAAGTTTCTGTGTCCCATGCTAATGACCCCACTTTCATCCAAGTTTCTGTTGATTTCCTGCTTCCTTTTCTTCGATATCAGTCTCCATCCATTATCCACCACCGTCCTTTTCTTGGCGATGTACCTCCATCTCTTTCCTTTTATCTTCCTCGTACGTCCATATTTGCCTGTTTCTGTTTCCATCTTCATCCCACTCTTGAGGATCTTATCAGCTCTCTGATTTTCAACTGCTCGTGAATCTTTAACTTCTTCCCCCTTTTGATCTTTGGTGACTTTGGACTCCTCGCCCTCAACTTTTCTCACCTCGCCATCCGCAGCTTCCTTCTTCCTACCCTCGTCTTCCATGCTCTCTTGCTTCTGCCTTTCCTCTCCCTTCATCTCCCTTCTTTCAGGGGTCTCCTCATCCTTCTGAGTTCCATCGCTGGATTCCGTTGCTTCATTAGTCTCTCCTCCTTTACTGCCGCTCGATTCAGGCAATTGCTCGTCTTGTTCTGCTGGATCATCAGTAGCCACACCTCCACGAGACTCAATTCGACGTCTCAAGACCTCCAACTCAGCTTCCTTTTGTCTGAGGCTTTGCGTTAAAGCAACCACTTGAGAGTTTTCATTTCGAGATTCAAGTTCTTTCTCTCTCAACATTTTGATCTCCTTTTTCTTCTCTTTGAGTGCAACATTCATAGTCTTTTGTTCGTCTCTAAGCGAGTCAATTGTGGATAGCAATTCTAGCAGCCTCCTATCAAGCTCCATCTTCTGCGTTCGGAGAGAGTATAGCGTTGCTTTCATGTCTTCGCTGTTCTTCTCCAATTCCTTACTGCGATCTCGTTCCCTCTGTTCAGTACAATACATAATCATCATATTGATGAAAAGAACCAAAAAACAGGTCAAATCCAGAGGGATAACGCATGAAAGAGAGAGAGGTGACCTGGAAGAGGAGTTGAAAGGAATGGAGGTCTTGGTCAGTGCGTTTGAGGAGGAGGTTGCAGATGCGCCTCTCTCTGAACTTGTGAAGCAGCATCACACCAAGCAAGGCTGCCCCAAATGCCACCAGTATCATTACAGCATAAGGCCTTCCTCTGCTCCCGCTTGCTTTGCTGTGGAGCCCCCCCACTACACCCATCTACAACAAAACCAAAAACCAGAAGAAAACCAGAAGAAGAAGAAGAAGAAGAAGAAGAAGAAGATGATGATGATGATGAAAGAAGAGTGGAATAGAGAGTTTGTTGAAGAAGGAGGTGGTTATTAATATATATTGGAAAATGGAGTTTGTTTGCTTGTCATGTAAAAAAGAACATGCAACCACAACGCCACCCTGTTTCGTATGGCAGCGGAGTTAACAAGGTAGAGGAAGCATGGGGACTGCGCCCAAACCGCTCATTTTCATTCTAGGATACTGTTTCCCCTTTCTTTATTCTTTATTCTACTCTTTCTATGTTGACCCTTTTGTTCTACTTTTTATAAAACTACCCTCTTACTTCCCACATCAAATCTTTGGCCTTTGGGAACTTCATATACGAATTTACAGTGAAAAGTTTCTTGATTTTACCACTTATTTTGAGTTTAAGGTCAAACTTGACAAAATTATAGATTTATTTTCTTACATATAAAAAGAGAAAAGGAACTTAATTCTCCCATGAAGTTTGCAAAATTGTCATACAAGTGATAAATTCTATAAAAGCTGTAGAACTATTGTGATCTAGTGTATAAGGCCATCTAAATATAATGCATTTGTACGCTATTTTTTGTTTATAGATGAATTCTTATATCCTAAAAGTTTTAGGCTTTAGATAGCACATGGAGTGGAATAGCTTCATCTATACTTTTGCTGAAAGCAATACCTCAAGCCTTTTGACTTTGCAATTTGTTTCTGGAAATGCTTAATTTTCAATAATTGGATACGACTAATGAAAAGAAGAAAAAAAAAAAAATGCTGTAACTTGACGGTTTCTTTGTCCTTCGCGATTCGATGGGTGGGCTTACTCTGAAAGCCCTCGGGCTTTACCGAGCCCAAGAAAAGCTCTCCAATTCAGAAAATTTCCGGATATCCCGGTGCCTCGAGGAGGGATTCGTCTTGTTTTTTCCGAGTACATTGAAGGATCCCTCTTGTTTATGGTAGAAGTGAACAACCCCTTGTAGACATCCCAGGAAGCCAATCAGGTAAAATTTATACAAAACAAGTTTATCCTTTTCCGATAAATTAATTTTCATGGACGACATCTTCGCTTCATCTCTCAATCTCGAAGAGACCCACCTGAAGGAAGGCTACGCCGAGGGCTATAAAGACGGTCTAGTCGCTGGCAAAGAGGAGGCTAAACAAGTAGGCCTTAAAGTTGGGTTCCAGGTCGGCGAGGAGTTGGGATTCTACAGAGGGTGTGTGGACGCGTGGAATTCTGCAATTCTGATCGACCCGGAACGGTTCTCGGTTCGGGTTCGGAAGAGTATCAAGCAGATGGAGGAGTTGGTGGAGAAATACCCACTTCAGGACCCTGAGAATGAGCAAGTTCAGGAGCTGATGGAAGGCTTGAGGCTCAAGTTCAGAGCGATTTGCGCCACTCTGGGTGTCAAATTGGAGTATAATGGCTATCCGAAATCGGCTTCTGATGGAAAAGAGATTGAGTTTTGATGTGATTTTTGTGGAGATTGTGTAATAGATAGGCTACATGGAGATTTCATAGTAGGTGATATAATGATTGGTGAAATTTGGGTGTTTTTTTAGATGATTGTTTTGCCTTATTATATCTAATAAGAACTCTCTGTTTCATCTTTTGTAGACTCCTCTCTTTGTTGCGCTGTAAAGGCTGGCTGTATTATTTCTATTACGGCATTTAGTTTGTCTATCAAAATATGAAAATAAAAGAATGTTGAAAAATGATTCAATATGCATGATGTACGAGTAATAGAAAACTTTCGCATGAAAGTTTTAAGTTGATCACGATTCATGATAATCACTTTATTTCCCTTGGTCCGACATCATAGTTTGTATAATCCGGTGCATTTCTCGCAAATATGAACTCAAGTGCAGCATTGCTTTGCTTTTCACAAAATTCTAGATTTGCTTTCAAAATTTGTTAATCCGTCTATCAACCTTGAAGAGAAATTACAGACGTGAAGTTATATCCTTTAACTACTGCTTGTAACATGTTCTTATCATTTTGTGCAGCTAGAGACCTGTAGTAAGGAGAGAAATGTCGAAATTGGTTCTTGCTTGCTGCAAGGTTTACATATCCGAAAGCCGAAACAAGGCTGCATTGGACTCAATTGAACGAGCTGCCAAGTTCTTCCATGAAGCCCCCATTATCAACAAATTCACGGATGAGGTTTATAACAGAGTTGGATATACCCTTGTTTCCAAGCTCCCATCAGAGCCATCTGTCCAGTCATGTTCCTTGAGAAGTGCAGTTGTGACCATGGTTAAGGCTGCATTTTCGGCAATTGACTTCGACTCGCATTGTGGCAGCCACCCACGACTTGGAGTTGTGGATCATATATGCTTTCATCCTTTGGCCCTTGCTTCCTTGGATGATGCAGCTATAATTGCCAGGTCTCTGGCGGCTGATATTGGATTTGGTCTTCAAGGTTTGTCTTTTTTTTCCACACCATACCATAATGCTAGATTTTTGGATGTGAACGTGAAAAGAATGCTAACTTAGGAGGCATTTCCATTGATGGGCTGAGCTGAAAAACAGTGGTATACTTTGTATTTCCCTAAACATTTTTAATGGGCTTCTTAAATGCAGTGTTCGCATGTTAAAACTCAGATATGAAGGCTTAATCTTTAACCTTTGACTTGAGTGTATATTATTCTTAAAACTCCTTGCTTTAATTTATTGAATTGGTAGTGCCTCGATGGTGTGCTATCAAACTTTAGATGCATAACAATATTGGAAAACCAAATGTCATTACATTGTCACCGTCATTTGTGATATGAGAGTTGAATATTTCTATGAGTTTCATGGCATCAGTTGCTATGTGTGTTATCCCTCCTGTCATTTATATTCTGCGATCCTGACGATCTTAACCATAGCCTGCAGTCCCGACATTTCTATACGGAGCGGCTCATGAAGAGGGGAGGAAGCTGGCCTTGATCAGAAGAGAGCTGGGTTATTTCAAGCCAAATTCTGATGGTTTCCAGTGGGCTGGAGGGCTGAAATCAGAGACATTGCCACTGAAGCCAGACAGGGGTCCAGCTGAAGCAAGTAAGGCAAAAGGGGTCGTCGTAATCGGGGCAACGAAGTGGGTCGATAATTACAATGTCCCGATCTTCTCTACCAATACCGCTGCTGTGTGTAAAATTGCAAAACAAGTGAGCGAGAGAGGAGGTGGACTGCCTTCAGTTCAAGCAATGGCCCTGGGTCATAAAGAAGGTGTAATTGAGGTGGCTTGTAATTTGCTTGAACCAAGTGAAGTGGGAGGGAAAATGGTTCAGCAGGAAGTTGAGCGGCTTGCAGAAAGTGAAGGCTTGGCTGTGGGGGAAGGATATTTCACAGACCTCTCACAAGAGGGCATAACTGAAAGGTACCTCAAATTGGTTTCTTCTGTGTAACCTGAAAGTGGCTTGAGATTTATTTATATTTGTCGTCTCATGTCTTGTGTGTCTTCTGCTTTGGATCTAATACTACCAGCACCTCACATCGTGCTCAAATTCCAATGTTTCGATCCTTCAAATTTGTGATTTTACAGATATTTCCACTGATATTGTAAATTGACATTGACTTTTCAGAGAGAGATTTTTTTTTTTCAAAATATTGTAAATTTCTTTTATACATTTTGAAAATATAAACAAACAAAGAAATATTGACAGTCTAGATGTAAAAGGAGGATTTATTCATCAGTTCATATAATTTTTACGAAATGTTGTGACTTTTTCTTATAATCTCCATTAATAACAAATATTTTATTAACAATAAAAAAGGTACAATAAATGAGAGAGAAGTATGGAAGTATAAGTAGAAGTAGACAAGTATTTTGAGAAATTTGACTCCATTCACGTAAATTAAAAAGTTAGATTTCGTCCATTTTAAACTTTCTATTACATTTGAAAATATATACTTTTATTTATGTTATTTACGTGAGTACTTCAATTTTTTTCTATGAAAGTATTATATTTCAAAAAGAGTGATAATAATAAGTGATGGTAATTTCTAAAATTGAAGCTCGGGGTTTTCCGTACAATGGAAATTTTAGTGAGACCGCATCCACAAACATTATTGTTGATAAAAAATCTATCTTATCTGTTGTTGTTGAATTTCCGGTGTGTATATGATTCGCTGTTATCCACATCGCTATCCAGTTCCAGATATTGATTTGGAGCATTCAATTTTCTATTTCTATTTTTTTTCATGAATTTGTTTATTCCTTTTAGTTTTCCCCATTTGTCTCTTACTTTACATTTCGTCTTCTTTCACGATTCTGAAAACCGATCCATCTATAACAATTAATAAAAACGACATCGTCTCCCTGCTGCCTACCCTCGCGTTTGGTTATTAAAAATTAGGCACCAAATACACACGTATTTCCATTAAAGGGGGGTGATGAAGGATGAATCCAAACAGACCCACACGTCATTGTCAAATTAATGCCAAACAGATAGTGCATCAATATACGTGCACAAACATGTCGACTAAATATAGCTTCGGACAAACCCTGCCCAACAATACTTCGACTCACAAGTAGTGGTGAAATCCTCGCTTGAAATCGGTAACGATTGAAGAGTACACGATTTTCATATGTGACTCAAACAATTACCTCTTTCAAATAAATACTGAAATATTAAAGACAGATGTACACGGAATCTTGAATCCAGAACATTTACTCTCTAACACTCATTGGCCACAAAACTTTCTAAGCGTTAAATCATTGTTACGAAGGACATTAATGTTTTGGTCAGTTTTTGACTAAAACAAGTGATATTAAAATTGAAAATTAAGAGTAACTTTCTTCGAATGGATATGCGAAGAAGAGGTGGTAAGGGCGATCCATAAGTATCGAAAATTTCTTTTTTATCTACCTCTGTCCCAATAAGCTGAAGTCAAAAAAAAAAAATAATAATAATAAGAAGAAAGTCAAGGAGTACCATTAAATATTTTACTTGACCCATTATTTCTTTTTTACTTTTATTTGAACTTTTGTATCTCTGTCTCTTTTCCAAACAAATTTACCGGGGAAATTTGTAATTTAAACGAATTTACACTACCTCTCGTATCCGGATTAAACAAAATTAAACATGCTGCACGCGGTGGATTAGAAAACAAAAGTATATTATCCATCTATCGATCAGTTTTCGACGCATCGCTGCCCACTGCTGCATACGTCAGGGAGACTGGAGAGTCAATTTTGCGCACTAAAAAAAAAAGTTGTGTTGCGTCCGTGCGGACTCACGGGCGGCCAAGCCCCCGCCCACTCTTTTGTTCTTGGGATTTCTTTATATATAATCCTCCAAATCCCAATATAATGCGAATGCCACTTTCAAATCCTTACCCCTCACCCTAATCTACAACAAGACCAACCAATGGCTTTCGATCTCAGCGCCAAGGTAAAGATTTTCATTTTTGCTCTTCCTTCTCCTTCAATTTCTTTATAATTAATGACCCATTCCAGCGAGAGAGCTTGGTTTGTTGTGTTGCGTTGTTTTGGTAATTTCGAAATCTGCGAAAACGAACTGAAAAGGCAGCGGGTGTATTCCATTCCAGGACAAGAGGAGGGGCGTGGAGCAGAAGGTGCTGGTATGCTGCAAATACTACGTCTCAGAATCGCGAAATCGCTCAGTTCTGGAGGCAATCGAGAGAGCCGCGAGCGTAGTAGACCCAGAGTCGGTAATCATGAAGAAATTCGGAGACAGGGCTTACAACAGGACAAGATACAGCATCGTCTCCTACGTCCTCCACGACACCACAGGGAATCCCATTTACAGCCCATTGCACCAAACAGTACTCGCCATGACCCAAGCCGCTTTCTCCAACATCAATCTCCAGTTCCATTCCGGCGCCCACCCTCGGCTCGGGGTCGTAGACGACATCATTTTCCATCCCCTGGCTCGGGCCTCCCTCCACGAAGCCGCTTGGCTCGCCAAGGCACTCGCTGCCGACATTGCCACTACGTTTCAAGGTTCATCTCCCTAAATCCCAATTCAGGATTTAATTCAATTCAATTACTTACTAATTAATGAGTACATTGCGCAGTGCCTGTATATCTGTACTCTGCAGCTCACCCAAGGGGGAAGGCCCTGGACGATTTGAGACGGGAGCTTGGGTATTTCCGGCCCAACTACAACGGGAACCAATGGGCGGGGTGGTCGATGACGGAAACGTTGCCGGAGAAGCCGGATGAAGGGCCGAACACTGTGTCTCCAGCGCGAGGAATCACGATGATTGGTGCACGTCCGTGGACGGCGACGTACAACATTCCGATATTGTCCAAGGACGTGGCAACGGCTCGGAGAATAGCGCGGATGGTGAGTGCCCGAGGAGGTGGCCTGCCCGCGGTCCAGACCATAGCTCTTCTTCACGATGATGATACGACGGAGATAGCTTGCTATTTGCTGGACCCCAACAATGTCGGAGCCGATCGGGTCCAGAGACGAGTGCAGATGCTCGCCGCCCAATTTGGATTGGAAGTTGAAAATGGCTACTTCACTGATGACTCGCCGGAGATGATTACCGAGAAATATTTCAATTTAATTTCCGGTACTAAGAATCAACTGGTGGACGTGGACCACCAATGATTTCTAAAATTTCTGTATCCATTAAGGTTTCCTAATAAAACAGGTACAGAATGTGCCGTACAATTTACGAATGTCGAACCCAACAAATAAGAAAGCCCTACAATTTTACTCGCATTATATGATTGATAATTTATAACTAATATAAATGCCTTTCTATATTAATTATTAAATTGATAAACAAGAAAATAGCTATGGCCTATGGGATATAAATATATCTTTCCATGTGTAAAAGAAGGAAAATTGAAGGGGGTTTTTTTTTTTTTTGGTAATAAATAATAAGCACAAAATCAGATGTTCAGTGGAAATTGTTTTTCTTTTGTTTCCGAAAGTCGGTCTAAAACATATTTGTATAATTATTTCGAAAGATTAATTTCTTTTTCCAAAATTATTGTTTCTTGTTTTTTTTATTAATTTGTGAGGTGTGATCGCGTGAGTAGTGATGATTTATGTATAGAATAATTGAAACTGTCCTTTAAAAAATTAAATTGTTGACGGTAAGTTAAAGTATTTATTGAAACTCAATTATTGTTCTTGTCCTTTTATATATATATATATATATATATATATATATAGATAAGCAAAGCAACTAAATCAAGTTATGATAAGAAATACAACTATTGTACTAAAAAAAAGGATAAGAAATACAACTATTTTTCTTCGTGACATTTAAGAAATACAACTATTGATAATTAAATATTTCATAATCATCATTCAAAGGAACACGGTTTTTAATTATATTTAAAAATAATATCAATAGAAAAAACAATAGCAAATGGTTGCATATCGTTTTCAACCCAGTTTTTTCATTCTCTTTTCTCAAAATAATAATAATAATAAGTTTTTCCATTCTCATGGTTACATTCTAATGCCGGCAAATCAAATATTATTTAAAAATACATGTTAAATATATTAGATTATTATAGGTGAAATTACACCGATTGTCCGTTAGAAAAACGACATGGGTCAAACCACTCGGATCAAATTGTCTAGGTCCAACCTCTCAACCAAACCCAATCGGCATCGGTCCATCTAAACTGATCTAAAGAGGCTCTTTTGTAAATAAGAGGAGAGACTTAAGATGCGGATGTACACTCTCACAATTCTACTCTTGCTACTCTCAATAAAATATTTTGTTTGTATATATAATTATTTGGACGAATTATCTCCTGCCACGTGTTAATATTAGAAGTCAATCACTCACTTGGATAAAAGAAAAAACTGAACAAGGCTTATCTATCTAGAAGATTCCACCGAGTTAAATTTTACCTCCACTCCCTCAAAGGACTAGCCAGCCTCGAAGAGCATCCGTAGGTGCAAGTACCAAATAACCAAGGATAATCATAGACAACACGTGACAAATCTCGGAATGGTTGGAGAGCTGTTGGAGTATCCTGTCCAAAGTTTGTCACTATAAACGCAAGCTATGTGAAGCCATATTATCTCTCCGAGTATAGCTTCGATAAATATTGATTTGAGTACAAAGTACTGACTATATTTTACAGTTTATTACGTTGGTCAGCATCACTTGTCCAAGCTTCACTAGAGACTCATGTGATCTTCTTCATCAACAGTAATGAATATGATTAAGAAAAAATATTTTTAACTAATATTCTTTTTCCTGTAAAAAAAAAAAGAGAGAGCAATATGCAATAGCAATGAGGGTGTAAATAATGGAGGATTCTGTGGCGCGGCGTATCATGTGAAGTTTGGAATGATATGATATGACTAAGGTCACATCAAACTCAAAACAAATTATATAATTAAATTATTAATGCAATGAAGCTTTCCCAAATAATAATAATAAATAAATAAATAATGTTACGAAGTATGAACTATGAATAACCTGCCTAGCATGAGAAAATGAACCATTAGGTCCCATTGGATAACAATCTAAGTTTTTGTTTTCTTCTTCTATTTGAAATTTCATATATTTGGGATTTGAACACACCTTTCGATCTATATTTTAGATACAAGAAGGGAAGTTTAAAGCTAAAATTTGAGAGAAAAAAGGGAAGAAAAGTACGATAGTGAACGGTGGTTATTCAATTTTTCAAAAAACATTTGAACGAGTAAATTTAATTAATTTTTTTCCTTAATCCATTATTAAACATGAAACCATCCCTAAATTGATTTGTCAAATAAGAGAATTGACCACACCCCAGTATTATACCAACCTCAACCATATTCCAACAATTGTCATGACATCTGAGTTCTATATGTCAATTAAGCCATGCATATAATATATATATATTATAAGTACAACGATGTATACATATATCTTATATGTACAACACAAAAGGAGTGGTTGGAGAAAAGGGTAGATGATTGAAGTGTCATTAATGGGCTGGGTCCTATGGACATCGTAAAGCCTGCCACTTTCTGTTCTTTCTAGTGAAAAAAAACTGGTTGGAAATTAGGTCCTAAATCCTAATCTTCTTCATCTTAAAAGTAACCAAACTCTGTACTGTTCTTGTTAGTGTTACCAACCATAGAAAACCGAGTTGACCCGAATGCGATGCTTCCCACTCCACTGATCTACTGGAGAATTCTCATACTAGAGAGCTTTTTATTCGGACCCAGAAGTTTGAAGCCGATCAAAAGTCAATGTTTCTAAATTACAACGCTTTCTTCAACTTCGCTTAAACTGCTCTATAATTGTCTGTTTCAAATTCCAATCCACTGTTTTCTGCATTCTCTTTTCCTCCCTCTTCAATTCTCATGCCACAATGGAATTAAGGGGCCATTCTCTCTTCAACCAAAAATGCTCCAAATTATCGGGGCTTGTGGGGTTTCCATCAAGGCAACTCTTTTGTGTTCATTCATACAATATATATGAGCCACCAAGATTATTATTCCATACTCAATCAATTTTACAGAGGTGATATCTCTCTCAAGCATAATGATAAGTTGCACATCATAAAACAGAACAGAAAGATTTTTAAAAAGGAAAAAAAATGGGGTCAAAGTCGCGGCATAGCAAACAGAGCACAGGGCATGCAGCGATTAAGTAATAGTGCTCATAAAGATCAATTGCATGGAAAAAGAAAACAACCCACTTGGCTCTATACCCAACCAAAAAAATATGCATGTATATATTTGAAGTGGGCTAAAAAAAGGTACCACTTTGTTGTGCTGTAGAGGATCAAATGTGAGCTGATCTGAGAAGGCATCGCTAAATTGAATCCGGCCTGGCCACACAAATGTGTGATTATTATTATTATTGTTGACGACATGATTTAAGGCAGGCTGTGGGTTTCCATATCATGCACCACTCCATGCATTTTGCACTCAACCATCTCCTCATCTCATGCCTCAGGAAGAATTTAAAAAGTTAAGACTAAAGCAATCAGAAAAAAGGGAATTTAGCTACTCATCTATCAAATGCACACACTCCAATAATGGGCATTCCTAATTTTGTTTTGGAAAAAAACTTTTGAGTAAGTTTCAGCTTGTGGGTCGGAAAATGAAAGCTGTGTTCTCTCCACATCCTCCGGCTCTGATCTCTCTCTTTTCAGACAGTAACATCAAAATGCTGTCTTGAAGATGATACCCTTTTTGGGTAGAAAAATAAATGGTGGGATCTCAAAGACCCTATTAGCTAGCAACTAGCAAGTAAAGTAAAAAACAATGCGTGAAGTTTAAGCTTATTAATGCATCGTGAGTTGTGATCTGAAGCCGCTAATTTCTGCAAGATGATTAAAAGAAAAAGGGTGTAAAGTAATGTAAAATTGAGGAGGCTTTTACTATTATTGTTATTGGCAAAAAATTGTGTTAAAGTAAGTACTCTCGTTTACTGTAAAACTACTTTGAACTTATCGAAAAGAGGTATCAGTTGCTAAAGTACATTCCTGAAAACAGTGCTTCTTGGGAACAAATTAAATAAAAAGAAGACAGACGAGGAGGAGGGGATAGGGAATTCAACTGATAAATGATAATTAGCAAGTGCTAATTAAATATTATATATGTGTGTGAGAAAATAAATAAAAATGAAGGGGAAAGGAAACGCATTTCGAAGGACCTCGCGTCTCCCTCCCTCCAGAGAGAGAGAGAGAGAGATTTTTTTGATTAACCCCAATGCTGAAGGCTGAAGGCTGATGGCTGATGGCTGATGGCTGATGGCTGAAGTAAAGGTCCTCTTCTTTCTCTAGTGTCATATCATGAAAATAGCTCTCTCTCTCTTATAAGCCCCTTTAACCGCCCCCTACCCTTTCGCCCCACGACATTTGTTTTCCTCATGGCCAGCTCACTCGTTCATTCATTCAAACCCCATCACCATTACCAAACCCTTCTCTTCAACGTAACCCTTTTCTCCACCAGATCTCTCAGACTGATCCTTGGAGATGCGTACCTACTGAAACCCTCTTCGTTTTTCTGATTCTTTTTTCTTTTTATGTTATTTCCCCAATAACCCATTTGTATTTCTTGGCGAGCCCTTCTCCTTCCCGTATTCTGTTGGGTTTTCCTTTGATTTCGCTTCCATATTCCTTCTGGGTTTTATCGACTTTGCATTGTTGAAGAAGTGTGGTGTGTGTTTTTTTCGCTCCCTTTTCGTGGTCTAAAGTTCGAGTGAAAATGGCTAATGGAATAGAGAAGGAAGTGGGGTTGACTATTTTTAGCGACGAGGAGCTGAGTGAGATGAGTGGGATTAAGAGAAGTGGAGACCATATAGAGGTAACTTGTGGATGTACCAGCCACAGATATGGTGATGCTGTTGGGAGGCTTAGGGTTTTTCTTAATGGTGACCTTGAAATCACCTGCGACTGCACCCCTGGTTGTCAGAAAGGTCTTTCTCTCTCTTTCTTTCTCTGTCTTTCCTCGCTCTTCCTTGGAATGGATGTTCGCTATTTTGCATGCTAAATGCGCGTATATTAGAGTTTCTGGCGAATCTTTTCTGTTTTCGAGAAAAAAAAATGGTTTTGGATTTTATGCATGTTGGGGTTTGTGTAGTATTTCTGTGCGTTATTGTTGAAATGGGTTTTCACGTTGGTAGCTTTGCTCTGCACGCTGGTTGGTTGTTTCTAAATGTATGTTGTTTTGTCTGACCGAATGAAGTGGCTTGCAACTCGCAAGAATCAAGATACTGCTGAGGCTGCTTTGGTTTTCATACGTCTTCCTTGTTGATTGAAGAGAGTTTTGCTCTTGAGCTGCTTGTTATTCTGGTACAATAGTTTGTTGTTCCTTTTGTTTGGCAGAGTAAGATGTCGTATGACTACTAGCCTTCTTGCTTACATGGGATGTTTTATATTAGTTTTTGACTTCTCTTTCGTGACGGTGAAAGGTTAATCAATCTGAAACTTCATATAATCTTAAATCACCACATGGGGTGGGGGGGTGTGGATTTGATTTGAACCTTCCATTTAGGATGCAATTCATGCTATGAATATGGCGTACTGATGTTATGTTCCCAAGTGAATCCTACTGCCGATGTCTTATCAGCTTGATGCTTGGATGCGGAGCATATCCGAATCTATGAGATTAGTGTCAGAAAGTTTGATGATTTACAATTAGAGAGAAGCTAACAATTTATGTATCCATCTGTCTTTAGTTAGTAATCTTGTTGGTATCATCCGTAGAAGACATGCCTAGCTGTTTAAATAGATTGGCATAACTTCAATTGAGTTATTTGGTTCTTTTGGACACTATTCCTCAAGACTACAGCCTTCAACTCTGCTTTACACATTAATTCAGGAGGGAATCTATTCGTTTTTTATGCTCATATATATGAAGTGTTTCCATCAGTTTTTAAATTGCAGTTTCTATAATAAATACCCTTTATTTATTTTGATTTTCTATAATGGTGTTGGTGATTTGAACACCAGGCAAGTTGACACCTGCTGCGTTTGAAAAGCATTCTGGAAGAGAGACAGCTAGAAAATGGAAGAACAATGTGTGGGTCATAGTTAATGGGGAAAAGATTCCGCTGTATAAGACTGTGTTACTCAAATACTACAACCAGTCATCAAAGACTGCTAACGGATCAAGTAGATCCCATAATGGGCGAGTCTTTCACCGTGACGAATTTGTTCGCTGTAGAAGGTGCAGCAAGGAGCGCAGATTTCGTCTGCGGATGAAGGAAGAATGTCGGACTTACCATGATGCCTTAGCAGATATGGATTGGAAATGTTCGGATTGGCCTTATGATAAGTATATCCTCGGTCTAAACTCTTGATAATCTTTAATTCATGCTTAATTTAATACGAAAATCATTAACCATTTGTTGATTTATTGTTCCTAATATTTATATATAGAGGGAATAACTTCTTTCTCTCGCATGCTGGTTATAATATCACTCACATTTGGATTAAATAGATCTTGTGTTGGATTTCGCATGTAGGAGGAGAATATTTGTTAACCAATTTAGACACAAATCATGGTTTAGAATAGGATTTAGTTCACAATAATGACGAATTAAAAGTTGAAATTTGCTTCTACTCCAATATTGAATTGCTGTTTCAACGTGCTCTGCTGTACTGTTCGATATTGTCTGATTTTGATCTTTTTACGCATTTATTTTGATCTTTCTTATTGCTCCCTGCAAATTCAATATGAAACTAAAATATTTGATGCCAGTATCTTCCTCTTGTTATACCTCGTTACCAGTCCTTTATAACTTGTTGAGGCAAGATGATGTGTCAATGCAAATATTTTTAGCAAACATTAGTTAGTTAGCTTTATTGAATCAAATTGTCACATCTGCTCCCTTAATCATAGCATTCTTTTTGACTTGCATCCTAATGTAGTTTAGAATTAGGACCTTACAAGCGATAAGATTTGACCCTTATTTTTTATTTACCTCAAAATGTGAGGTCTGTCTCCGAATAAAGATGACACATGTTAGATATGAACCAAAGGCTGCAGCAAAGTAGAAATTTCTTATGGAAATGACCATGGTGGTAGATATTTAATGCATCAACATATAAACTGATTATACTTTCATGTGTGCCTATTTGTGGTTGCATACATGTACGCTAACGAATGATAAATTTCCTCTGTTGCTTAGAATAAGCTGTGATGATGATGAAGAAAGAGCAAGTCGCAAGGTTTATAGAGGCTGTACTCGTTCGCCTACTTGTAAGGGTTGCACCTCGTGTGTGTGCTTTGGGTGCGAGACATGTCGTTTCTCAGATTGCAGCTGCCAGACTTGCATTGACTTCACAAGAAATGCAAAAGCTTGAGGCTTCTCCCACTCGCATCTTTTTTCCTATCTGGATATTCCCATGAATTTATTTGAAACTTGAATACCCACTATTGTCCATTTGCATTCAGCTGTTTTATCTATCGATTCTGAAATTTTCAACCCAACCATCTGCTCCCTTTCTTTAACTTATTGCAGTACACGGTTGATCGTTAATGTTTGATTAGTAATATGCAGATATGGTGTCACCAAACTCTACCATTGCAGGCGCCCAAAATTTACTTTACTTAGAGAGGATCGGCGAAAGCATATCACATTTAGAACAAAGAGACGGCTGAGTTGTAAATAGCAGGAAATATGGTTGCGTTATTAAACTTCTAATTTTATTTATCATTTCTAATATACTCAATACTTTTATTATTTTATTGAAATATATTTTCTCTCAGGATATTATATGAGTGTATATATAATAGAACAAAGTTCAATGGTTAAGTCATAACAACTTTCAATAATATTTGAAGGTTTAAATCTCCCTCTAGATTTGTAATGCTCTGCACTCTAAAAATGGGAGTATTATTTGTAAATTTAATATACAAATATGTGAAATAAAATAAAAATTTGTCTATATTATACTAATTGGTAACATGCCAAAAATGTAATATTTTTAAGAAAATAAGAATTGTTCCCAATAATAAATTGGCAAGACATAATATTTCTAAAAATAAAGATTTGCTAGGAATATAAATGAATGCACCACCGAAATAAAAGAAAAAAAATAAATGACTGACGTCATAGGAGAAAAAAATGAATGCACCATTAAATTCTACAGTCTATTTGACAGTACAAGATGCAGACTAGCGTGTCGTACATCTCAAATAAAATAAAATAACCACGACGACAAATAAATTTTCAATTAAAATAGGAAATTAAAAATTTTCGAGTTAAGGAAAAAAAAAAAGACCAAATCAAATGAACCCATTAACGTTAATTATAAATTTGGTTGTTCAAATTTTAAGATTGTGTCAGTTCATCAATTTGTCAAATATGATTTTAAAAAATTTATTAACTTTTGATTTTATGAAAAATGTATAATATTTTTTCAGCACATATACAAAATTGAGTAAGTGAAAGATTTATTAGCTTTTCAGTTGGGATTTAAATTTTCGACCACCTTCTCCTAGTTGTTAAAAGTTCTAAATTAACAAAATTTAAATATTAAACTAAGATTTAGACTTATTTACATCGAAAACCCATCATTTTAAGATTTTTTTTAATGGTATTTCTGCTGTGCTTCCTCTTTTAATTTCTTCATCTCTTCTACTTGGAGTTATTTGGTATTAAAAAAAAACGCAGAGAATAGGAAGGCAAGGCATAATGTGGAAAATAAGCCGTTAAGCTTCAAGACGAATAACAATCAGACTACAACACTACAGACTTCCAACAAAAAAAAAAAAAAAAATTCAGAATACAGAAATGAGGAATCATTAGACATTAGCCAGAACAAAAATTTCAGTGGAGAACAAATGAATGCGGCATTGTTAGCGGTAGGATCGAAGAACAGATCCACAAAAAGTACAGATGATGGCTCTCCAGGATTTCCAGTAAAAGGGAACGTGACAGAATCTGGTGGCCGTTTTCATATCCGCCACTCTGGCTCCTCCTCCGCAACGGGAGCAAATGCCCGGCGCCGGCCTACTCCGCCGCACCCTCCGCTTCTCATCCACCAGAAAGCAGAAGCAAACCATGGGGGCTTCCGATCACCTAAGGCAGCTGCAATGGAATCAAGTTTTAAGCGAAATGGGAACGAGTGAGTGACACAACCCAAGCAAGTGAGCATATTTATAGGGGCAGCGTAGGTTAAATTTTTAAAGCTCCACACCCTCCGATTTAAAGACGTCATTTTTTTTAAGGATGTTAAATTTAATTTTTCCAAACCCTTTAAATTTTTGAATTCATCAGTTTTAATATGATATTAGAGTATATATTGTTCGAACTCTTGTATTATTATAAACTTTCATGATATTTAATAAGAGGTTTAGGTTTACTTGTTGGTTGTTTATTCACGCTTAATGCTAAAACCTGATGGTCAATGTTTTCAAAAACCTGAGGGTCAATGTTTTCAAACAATACAGCTGGAACTTTAAACTATTGTCGGATGCAAGAAAACTCATCTTGAATATTGACTGTACACGTGGAAAACAAAAAACTGACAGCATTTGAAACCTTGGCAGGCAGTTGCTTTTTAATATAGTGCTGTTAATGCCACTCGGCTTGGTAGTTGGTACGGTCCCTTCCTCTCGAGATATTTTATTCCTTTATTTGGGTCAAAATATCATATTTTGCTAATTAATTAATGGCTATGGCTAATTGATGTAGTGACGTGTATCTCTCTTGAACTTGATGAGCTGAAACTTGATAGTTCATTTACCTTCCAATTCCATAGCCTCCCTTTATACTCAAAAAGCTTATGTAGTTGATGATATTTTCATCTGGTGCCAATCAATTATGGTCTAGATCTTATAAGTTCTTACTTTAGTTGACTTGATAGCTTTTAATCAAAGAAAAGAGCAAGACAGTAAGAGGGAAAGCTTTTAACATTAATATATCAATTGTGTACATAGATATATACACAGTATAAATACATGCTTGATGCTGCTAATTATATATGATACAGTAGTGTACAAGACACCACAACGAACCACTATTGCAAATATTACACTGTTTTGGGATTTCAAAGATTAGAGGAATCTTCATAGACTGATCATTGAGCTCAAATTCAGAATACACTGGTGAGTGCAAAGCAAATTTCATTTCTTAGGAGATCATTGGGGGGCAAAAAGCCCATGTAGCTCTTCTTCTTTTCCCATTACTTGACAGTCCCTTTTGAGGGTATGGACACAACAAGAACGACGCTGGATGTTAAACCCTGAAGAAACCTTTGTGCCTCTATTATTATGCTCTTAGAGAATTCAAATTCGCTAAAGTGAGCTCTTGGCGGGAGGTGAAGTGTAAAGCAAATGAAAATGTTGAATCTCCCACCTCTAAAGAATGAATAAAATGTCTTAACTGTTGAGCTATATCTCTATTGATTCAATTTCACGAATAGTTAACTTAACTACTAACAATACAATTAATCAAATAAAAAGTGAATATAGTAACAAACATGGACAACTTAAACGAATTAAATTAAACTTTTAAAGTCACAAGAACCAATATAAAATTAAATTTAAACTAAAACTAAATTTATAATTTTAACATTGTATAAAAATTTTCTCTAATTCTTTTTAATTACAAGTTTAAAAAAATATTCAAAATGATTTTAGAACTTTTTTTTTTTCCCAAAAGAATGGTAATAGTAATAGAGGTCTTTAATCACTAACAAAGAAAAGCATTATTTTTTTTTATGGCTACAGTTTGATATATTTACAACTTTAGTCTTAGGTTGGATGTTGGATTGGGCTTAGTCTAACGGGCTCATCAAACTACAATTAACTTTTGGGCCTACTTTGGATTGGGCGTGCGGGCTAGATAGAGCCACTCCATGCATTTTCTTTTCTTTTCACTTTAAGATTTGCATATCTCAACTAATTCAATATCCATATGTTTGTCAAAAAAAAAAAAAAAAAAACAAAAAAAACAAAAAACCCTAATTCAATATTCATCTTATTATTTGAATTTTATAAGATGAAAGATATAGGAAATAAGAAGCGAAGGGATAGGTAAAACGTAGAAGCAATTAGTGAAAGGGGGTAAAGTTTGTTCTTTCATTTCCGTTTTTTAAAATAGGACATTTGATTAACTATTTTGTGATTTATTGTTTTTTATCTTTAAAAGACATTTTTAAAATTGTATAAAAAATTTGAAACTAAACAGAAATAAAAGTACCAATCTCTTGTTTCTTGTTTTAATTTTTGATTTTTTCATAAACAAAAGTAAAAGTACTAGTGTAGCATTTTTTACTTATAAAATCCATAACAAGTATTTTTAAAAACTAAATATATAACTTTAATAATTTGGAATCGTTTATTTTTTAAATCTAGTTTCATGCAACCCATTGATTTTATTTTATTTAAAATTTGTAGAAGAGCGATGTGTCAGTCAGTCGATCGACTTGGAGACTAATGTGGATTGAGACGGCAGTCAAAGTCCAAGTCTTTGTTACGTCTGTAGGGACCTTGTCATCCCAATCGTGACTAGTACTGCAGCCTTCGGGTAGGCTTCAACATCTGTGCACTTCTGGTATTAGCCTGTGGGCTCCCTATTCGACCCATCTTGAAACACGGACTAAAGAGTTTGACATGTGTGCATTGAGAAAACAAGTTTTTAAAAACACATTTCTATTTCTTATAGTTAAAAATGTGACCAAAGTTCCACGTTAATTAGATAAAGAGAAGAATGTAAGTATATTATATAAGTGAGGAACAATATCTCAATAAAGTCTTTTTAATAAAATAAAGGAGTCATATTCTTAAAATCGACAACAACGTACCATTATGCGAGTACCTCTATAGCTTCCCAACACCCTATTTTTAATAAAAGAGAAAAATAAATAAATAATAAATAATAGTTACCATATACATTATATAATAAAAATAAAATTAGAAAAGGATTCTAAATAATTATCAAAATACCCCATTAACCATTACTCTCTCTTTTTTTTTAAACAACTCGAAGGTTTGATCCTGGCAGGAAGCAAACTTAAGTCGAGTCAAAGCAGGTTGTGTTTGGTACCAAGTCCTAAATAAAAGCTTTTATATCAAACAAAGAATCAATTTAATTATTTGTATACAATTTTAAATAAACACTTTAATTTATTTGGTTAATATTAATCATTTCCATCGAGATAATAATTTAGTGCTGTCCTCTAAAGAATGGTGCATGGAATATTGTAATACTCTTATTATGAGGTCTTGTGTTCAAATCCTAGTCAGCAACATTACTCAATCAAGACAATACAATGATAAGCAACAATCTCTAGTCATAGGAGTTCAATTGCCTCTTAGTTAGTTATTTATTATTATTATTCCAAATCTTTTAAGGGTAGTTAAGCATAAACATTGAAATTTGAAGGGTTTTCAAAAACACTTTTATACTTAAAATGCATTCTCAAACACATATCTACAATATTTTTACAATTTTCAAAGTACACTTCTAAGCATGCATTAGCGAAAACATCATGATAAGTGAGTTAAACCACCTTTTACTATTTCAAAACCTTCATTATTAAACTCACCTCAAAACTTGTACTATAACTATGAGTAAGAAACTAAATACACTGAACACCAAAACAGAACACATAAAAGTTATATTGCCTTGATCAAAATGGTTAATAGGTTAAAAATTAAAACAAGACTGAAAAAAAAAAAAGGTAGAGTTTACGACTCGAAGAGGGGAAGAAAGCATTTAGTGTTGGGAGATTAAAAATGAAGGTACAGACAAGAGTGATGACAGAACAGACAGAGAAGACATATGCCTGCAGCTTGGGGCAGAACTTTGTTTAAGAAGGACAAAGTCATCTCTCCACATTATCTTGATGGTATGATTTCACCCAAGAAAAACTCCGTACCAACGATGGTATTATATTGTATTTCACTTGCACTGCACACTTGGGTCATCAACTTTTTAAGTCCTGTAAACGATCATTATGTCTGTTATGGGAGGTGAAACGAGATACAGCTAGGTAACACAAGACCGAAGAAGAGTCAGGAGAGGGTGCGAACCAGGGGAGCAGGCACTCAGCGACCCGAGCCGGCCTCTGGTCGAGCAGTTCTCGGCTAGCAGTGGTTCCGCTGTGCATTCAGACTCGAACCCATCACGTCCTGACTCTTGATCCATAGGCCCACGTAGCGCATCGGCCCAGATATTTAGATTTCCTAAATGTATAAGAACTAGACTTCTATATAAATAGGAGAATAAACCCAACCTAAAGGTTACTACGAAATACTCTACTCTCGAAACTACTTGATTATAAGTTAAGCATTAAAGTCCGTGTGGTAAGAGTCACACCGATCTTTAATGCTATTCAATCTCGCAGATTTTGTCGATCCCTTTATTTACTGAAAATTGATGCAAATTTAGAAAGATCCATTTCAAATTTGTGCATCAACGATATATAATATATAATCAACACATTTCAATAAAAACTGCCGTAAAATATTTGCTCAAAAAGTATCCATATGTATCCAAAGAGGCGTACTACTCGAAAAAGAGTGATATTAATGGGAAGGCCGCAGGAGGAATGGGGAGGGAGAAAGAAGAAGAGTAATTAAACACGTTGCCTAAAAGTGGGATGTGACAACGCAGTATATAGTTTCAAAGTTTGAAGTTCGAAGTTGGAAGAAAGTGAAACAAAGACAAAAACAGTTCCCCCACGTGAGATATATTTCGCTCACTTTCCTTCCTCAATGTCAGTCTCCACTGCTGCTCCAATCCAATTTCCCTTCTCATTTATCACAGTCTTCATTTTAAACATTGTGATTTTTTTTCCCGTGGAAATTTATTTCTAATTGTCTAGCGCTAACTGAGAACATTATATTAATCGCACACCCGACACACATTTTTATATAATTCCCTTCTCATTTGATTCAGTCTGTTCTAACAAAAATAAACCTTTTAAATTTTATTTAGAAAAACTATTTACTACCTAGTGGAAATTATTTAGTAAGAACTCAAAGAAATTATGAAATTAAGTGCTAGAAAATTCAATTTTAATAGATAATAATGGTATCACAGTTACGTGAACCAACTAACTCCTAATTTGTGACTTTAACTATTAGTTTGTGCAAATATTGGTTAATGAAGTAAATAAATAAAATAACTGTTTTTCTCTCTATTATGTTTGCATCACTAAGATTTTCGTCTTGCAAAAATGTTAGTGAAGGAAAGAAGAAGAAAACTAGAGAAGGAAAGAAGAGAGAGAGAAAGAAAGAAGAAAGGGAGAGAAGCACCGATGACCGCCATGGTTTTAAGTAATCAATTTCTTTTGCATCTCTTTATCTCTTTCTAAATTGACTGTCACAAAGAAAAGAAAGTAACTAGTAAGATAGGACAATAAAAGAAATGGAAACTACGAAGAAACAAGAAAAGCTTTGGAAAAACCAACGGTGCTGGTTTTCCCAAGGTACCGTTGCAGTCTGCAATTGTAGCCGGCAGCACATTTAATGACATTAATTATTTTTTATTTTTATTATTTTTCATCTATTATGTTTAACATAATCGATCGATTTTTGATAAAAAAAATGACATATCTCATCAAAACGACGGGCAACGAGTCGATTTCTATTTTCGGAAAACTATACAATATTTTACGCAAAAGTGCATAATCACTGTTTTTTTTTTGGCTCCATTGCATTTCGGACAGGGAAACGTCGAAAAACAACCGCCCACACCATGTGGTCAACACAACAACCCTAGCTAATAGAAAAACTTTTATATGATCAAAATTTAAGAAGCTGGCGCTTTTGTTTTCCAAAAGAAAATTATTTTTAAACGTAATTGGCGGGAAGGAATAATTCTATTTTCTACTTCTAAAATATTTGATAATTCATTATTTATTCCTTTTAGTTGTAAAGGGACAATATTAATCCTGAATTTTCCCTTTTTTTTCCTGTCCAAATACTAGGTGTGTTACTTGGTATTTTCATCTATTTTCTACCTCTCTTTTGCTATGTATTTTCATCTCTTTGCCGTCAAATTTAAGAAATAAATATTATTCTTTACGAAAAATAAACTACACATCTATCAATAAGATGAATACATCAATGGTATACGAAAATGGATAATTTTTTTTTTTTTTTTGA